CCTCCAGGAGCAGATGAGCCTAAGGGCTAATAGCTCATCTTCAGTCTGCTGATGTTTGCTATTGCCATTTCTGTGGTGGCAAAGTAAAAAAGAAAAGAGATAAGAAAAAAGACAACAATTAAGGACAAGTGTGTGGTTTTTCTCATTCACACACACACCTCATTCACTTGTTCACTTTCGCTGGTAATATTCTCCTCTGTACCTGTCTTCCGAATACCTCCCGTTTTGAGCCACATTTTTAACATCATTCAGCTTTCTTCTTTCTTTAGCTTGCTTGCAACGTTAGCGGGTAGTAAGGTCGTAATTAGCAACGCCAGAAATAGAATAAAATAAATGTTTTCGTTTCTAAATCTAAAAACAGCAATAGCCTATTAGAACTAATTTAAACCACAGTTTCAATTATCTCAAGCTTATTTTCATTCGTTGTAGTATTTTGATAGTATGATTTATTTTGTAATTAATGTTATTCAATCAAGCCTCAAACTGATGGCACTTGTCCCTATAGCCTGTTTTAAATTGAAGTTGTCTGAGGTCCTTACCATCAGCTGCTCTTGCAGTATTAATAGTGTACCTTAATGTCCCAAATGTGCACAATGTAGTGACTGCTTTTCGTCTTTTTGTTTACTTACCGGTAGTTCTGTTTCCTGTATTTTATATGTCTGTGTTATGTGTAAAGGTTAAAGGTGGGGTAGGTACGTTTGAGAAACCGGCTCGAGATACACTTTTTTTATATTCCATGGAATGCTCTTAACATCCCGATAGCAATGAATATCTGAAGTGCTTTGACAAAAAATCCTTTAAAAAATGTCATCTGTGGAAGGCTCTGTAAGGAAGTGGCATATTTTTTCCGGTTGTGTATTTTCAAATTCTAGGTCACTCGAGCTGGTTTCTCCAAAATTACCTACCCCACCTTTGAATAAAAAAAAATATATATATATTAATCAATCTTTTTTTTTTTTTTTTTTTTTTTGTATATGTCAGATTCCTCCACGTACCACTAGCGGGAGCTGGCACGCGTACCACAGGTTGAGAACCACTGGTCTAAACAACATAAAATATTAAACTAAATGTACTACTCTTCACAAAGCACCTAATAAAACCTGTTGTGTTATATCAATCTGAGCCTAATTGGTGAAAATTGACATTGATCTGTATAAAAATGTAGCATATTTCTCTATTGATTGACCATTCTGTCCAACACAGCGAGGGAAGGCATCATGTGGATCCTTTCATACTTCTCTTCTAATTCTGTCCCCACTGCTATGCAAGCCTAATATTTCCTCCATGTTGGATCAGTTCCAGTGTCTTTTTCTGCCAACCAGTCAGCTCTGTGCCATGTCAGTGTCCGTGCCAGGCCGCAGGACTAGCTGGCAATGCCATGGTGTTAATGGACACCA